GGAAAATGGGAAAAGTAGAATCGAGGTTTAGACATTTATCTAGAAGCTACCAATATTGAACTACCCGCTACAAAAAGAGCTACATTAATACACACAGGTGACCTTAGTCTTCGAGAAATATATTATAATATACCAGGAGCCCATGTTAGCAGTACAGATGATCCAACGAAGGATATTTATGTTATAGCTATTGAAAAGTTGGACGAGTACTTTATTTCAAAACAAAGCAAAGTATATGAGAGACACTTACTTTGGCTAATAAAACAAGAATCGAGACAAAAATTTGAGAAATTTCTAATTCGATTAAGAAAACAGGCTGATAAATGTAGTTTCGCAAATACAGAAAATCAAATTACAGAAAAATGTTACTCTGGCGAGCTTCGTAAAAATTTTTTAAAAGGAGGTGACAAAATGACATTAGAAGACATCATAATAGAAGCGAATACCCTAGAAAGTATGAATAGACAAATGGAAGAATTTACTCACAACACCGCATGTAATAGCAGCACCGAAAATAAAATTGACACCAGAAGGAAACTGTCTAACAATTCGTGTACTAGGTGAAGGAGCTTAAAGCATATGCCTCAATCAATGGAATGTCCCGCAAGAAAAATTAAGTGCCATAAATGCGGTATAACGGGGCATTTTCGGAAGTACTGTTTGACAATAAGGCCACCTAAGAGACCATTTTTGAGTTCAAAAGACTCTACCCCCACAAAAACACCAAAGACGGAGGAAAAGGAAGAAATCGATTATGTTTTTCACGTAGATGACGACATTACTATTAATTTTTGGGTTAGTGGTGTCAAGAAGTCACTATTGCTCGATTCTAGATGTAAATGTAATTTGTTAATAGATGTTAAATGGAGAAAACTAAAAAAAATGTTTTTGAAATGGATGGATCACCGGATAAAATATTTTTCGCCTACGGTAGCACTAAGTTATTAACTATATTGGGATCATTTAAAACTCAAGTCCAAATCAATAGCTAAAAAGAAGTTGCTGTTTTCTATGTGATAAAAAACGACACTAAGGATATTTTGGGGAAAGTAACGTCCATAGCATTGGGCGTTCTGCGATTAGGTGTTAAAGTAAATACCATTGAGTCCACATCAGATAAACATATTACAGTATTTCTAAAATTTAAAGATGTTCTTGTCGAGATACCTACTGATGAGAAAATAGCGCCAGTAAGTGAGCCTTACAGAAGAATACCTCTAGAAACAAAACTTAATAAAAAGATTCAAGAATTATTGGAGCTTGATATTATCTAAGAAGTATCTAAGCCATCAAAATGGGTTTCACCCATGGTGCCTGTTTTAAAGAAAAATGGGGGATATTAGGATCTGTATTGCTACGCGAAGAGCTAATGCAAGAATAATTCGTGAAGATCATCCACTACCAACAATGGACCTGCTACCACATTTTAAAGATGCGAAATTATTTTCTCATCCCGATATACAAACGCTTTTTAAAAACGCTTTCCACCAAATCGAAATCCATTCTGATAACAGATATATCACTACATTTATAACGAGCAAAGGGTTATATAGATACAAGCGACTTATGTTTGGTATTCCCTGTGCTCCAGAAATGTTTCAGAAAATCATGGATCGCACCCTTATACGGTGTGAAGGTACGGTAAATTTGTCGATGACGATATTGTCATTTCTGGTGCAAATGAGGCAGGGCATGATACAACAGACACTAAATTTTTTGAAAAAGAACAATGTTCTGTTAAATAATGATAAGTGTATTTACAAAGTAAATAAAATAGTGTTCTTGGGGCATGAGTTATTTAGTGAAGGTGTAAGGCCTTTAAATACATTTACAGTATCCAAATATTTAGGGCACCATCAACTATCGAGGAAATTCAAAGTTTCTTGGGGTTAGTAAATTTTGTTGGGACATGGATACCAAATTTGGCGATACTCACTGAGCCGTTTCGGAAAATACTGAAGCTAAAGCTGGGGAAAAAAGCAGACATTGGAAATATAGACAAAGAAAAAGCATTCTACGAATTGAAGAAAGACGTGTACCGAGTATTATGTAGTGTTAGTGACATTATGTAATAAGTGATACCGTACTTATGTTACTGCACTCATCGATGTTTATTTGGCACTGATTTGTGTAATTATTCTTCAAACACAGATCTTCATCTGAATTTCTTTGGTATATGAGGTGTTTAAAGCGGCATAAATGTGCTGAAAATTCGTACATGATACAATCTTGTAAATCGATAGATGTCATTGGAATGTAAATATCCTTTTCTTAATTAATTGCAATGTAATCTGCAATCGGTTTAGTGTATACAAAATTGTTTATCCGTTTATGAGGAATCGGTATGACTCTGTATAGGCTGTAATTATTTCGGCTGACCAATGGTAATCTGATTTCAAAAATTTAGTAATTATCAGTCAACTTTGTTTTCACTTGAAGAAACTGGTACATTTTTTGAAAATCTGATTGTAGGTTTGATAAAGGTAGAGTCAATTCTTTAGGTATTTGACCAGATATTTTGTTAAGTTCATTTCTCAACTGAGTAGTGCTTATGAGATGAACATCGAACCTTCCATGATATGTAGCAGTGATAGCGTCTGTCATAATATTTTGTATGCTTTTCAAATTCAGTAGTAAATTGCTCGCTATTACAGACAGAGCCAAAAATGGGTTAATGTTATGAAGTTTATCTAATTCTGTTTTTACTTTGTTTATATTGCTGTCTAAAGCACTAATCTCTTTGTAGATAATCTTGTGTTGTTTTCTCATAACTTCTTCCATTTCTTTTCATGATGTTGTATTCCGCTTCGATAATAGACGTTTGATTCTTGAACAGGGAAGCCAAATGATATTCGTTCTGTCTGACAAGTGTGATATCTCGCTCATACTTTTCTGCGAAATGGTTTTCGAGTACTCCGAAGAGAATATGCGCGTGAGACCTGACACCAATTGATAAGCTCTCGTTTCTGCCTGTCGTGCTCGGTTTTTTTACCTAGCGCCATGCGGTTGTAGTACTCGACTTGACTGGTACTATGACAAAACTGCAATAGGAACGCATCACAATGACTATCGCTCTTCATTGTTTCACATATGTTTTCCATGTGTTTTTGACATTTGTCAAGTGCTTCGGAACCTTCCCAAAATGGTTGCATGTTGTAGTAAATAATGACCTTCCAGTCGTCTCGAATAAGTTGGATGTTGGAAATAGGGTCAAAATACAAAGATTGATTAAGTTGCTGAAAAGTATAAGCCCCATGCGTAGGTACGATTATACTCAAGAAAAATAGCAATGCAGCACAAATTGATATCAGACTTGATTTAGCTGTTATCTTGTTGTTTTTTTTTCTGATTTCAGGTTTCTGGTTTCCTTGCAGTGGCATTATGGATAGTTTGGCAACTGGCCGTTTTAAAATTCCGTTTTTTGTTTTCAAGGAGATAACTCGAATGAAACCATCTATAACTCGACCTATTGACCATTTTCCAGCAGGTCATAAGGCATCTTCTTAAATTGTCACCAATGGACCGACTTGAATGTTAGATGTCGACTGCTTCTATTTGTTTCGAACGGTAAGTTGTGTAAGGTATTTCGATTTCCAGCGCTTCCAGATATTGTCCATTAGTTTTTCTGTTAAGTTCCATCTTGTTTGCGCGTCGTGTTCTGTTTCCAGTATAGTTACATCAGCTGTTCCAGTAAAAAAATGCGAAGGCGTTAAGAAGTCCAGGTCCTCCACAACCTCAGTTAATACGCACAGCGGCCTAGTATTAAGGCACGCTTCTAGCTGAGTAAGTATCGTTGAGTACTCTTCGAATGTTAATTTTATTCTCCGATAACACTTTGATGTGATATTTCAGCTCTTGACTGCAACCTCCCAGAGTCCTCCCGCTGACGGTCATAAAGGAGCATTGAAGTGGAATTCTTTCGTGAAGTGAAACTTTTTAACGGTGGTAGTATCACGCGGCAGCTTTTGCTGTTGCACGTATGGGCCGGCTCGAGACGGGTTGGTACCACGACCTCACAGAATACCGGCGAGAAGTAGAAGCTCTGCTTCAAAATTCACAATGACAATCTTTCTGACATTTTCAACGGAAAGCTGTTTGCCATCCTTATTCTATAAAAAATAGTTGGGTGAAGGATATTCGGTTATGACGGCATGTAAGGAACGTAAGTTTTTGTACATTCTCAGTCTTTTGTTTATATTTATTGTTATATATAGATATCATATATTCTTGGTCTTTTAGTTAGTATTATAAGCGACTTTCACTCTCGGTTCATTAACCAGTTGATGATGCGGTACCATTTTGAGATATTAAAGTATGCTCTAATTTCATCTACCCTATTTCATGAAATCATGACGTAATGACCATATCGGATTGCAGTTAGCCAATGCGTATTTTACAAGAACTATTTTATTTTTCCAAATTTCTAAATTCTAAAAAATAATTTCTTAAAAGTGTTTATGTAGCATTCTTAGGGTCTCTTTAGATTTTTAAATTTGTTCAATATTATTAATGGTTTTAATTCTAGTCCCACCAGGTAGGATGTTAATTGTAAGAAATGTATGTAACTATATATATATACATATAATATATTTATTACATGAACAGTTACTACGCAAACTTAATTTTTTTATTTATTTTCTTTCAATTATAGAATAAACGTCTTTTACATTTTCATCTGCCTAACTATATTACAGTTTGTCGGCAGTAGTTCTTGTCTTACATGCTTATGTTTATATAATCATTGAATACATTTATAATATACTATACATTGTATTCTATACGTATACATTGTATTCAATTAATTCGACCTTCAAAATCCACAGCTTTGCTAGTGCAAGCCTAATCGATTACATATTGCTTATACCATATTCTGTGTACGCTGAACGGGTACTAATCTATTACCGATAGCCTTAAAATAAACAGATATTGATGTAACTGTGTAGTCCGAATTTAATAACTATTATACATTTTTTACGTGGTAGAGCCATGCTGCAGCTATATTAAGATTGTAGCACGTAAGGGTCCACGCTCTCATAGAATACCAGCGTAAAATAGCAGCTTATTGTTGCTATGTTTCGTATGGTGTGTGTAGAGAACCGGAGACCATTTTCACTGCAAACGAGGCGCTCTATCTTAGTCCTCATGGGTGACAACGCATTTGCATTTTGATTCTTAATCGAGGATAAATGTAGATGTCTATGGGCCACAGCATCCCTCTTACCATCAGGTGGACTGTGTGCTCGTTTGTCACCCTTATTTAATAAAGTCAATTATAGCAGCGTAACATGAATAGTAATAGAAGAGAATATGTATGCTCTTCTTTCTGGTATTTCGTAATCAAAAAATCTGCGAATGGTGCACCGACTATCGAACGTGGAAAATTGGCGGCACTCTCTCTTTGTTGTTTAGAGCTTCATATACTTTTCGTGAGATATAAAGGAGAAACTGGATTGTTTAAGAAGGTTTTGGCTATTGAAATGACGCGAATCATTATAAAAGACCCTAAACTAAGCTAACTGTCGATACACACAGGTTTAAAACGGTTCAAGCTAATAAATACAGTAGAATGATCAAAATACATGCGGTCAATAATCTGGTGGTTCCGAAATGACAAAATGTGTTATTTGTAGATAAAAACAATTACGATTGAAAAACATTACAAGAAGAAAACTGACAAAGTGCTTACTGTACTGCCTTGCCTTCCTTACTTTTCGCTCGCATCCTTCCTTCCAATTATATGAAAAACATAACTTATGGCGCCATCTGTTGGCGTATAACAAAAGCGTCTGCAAAAGAAGTAGACGCGATCAATAGTTATTTAATCAATACTCAAGACTAACTGCATCGTCAGTGGCTGTTCTTGTCTAAACCTTCGAAAATAAAATCAATGTAATTAAGCGTTAGTGATAGGGCCGGGTCGACTCAACTGTGTGCATAGACTATATAATCACGTAGGTGTCTGGTCAAGGAAGACTGAAGCCCTCCACATTCGAAGATATTGTTGAAGCTAAGTTGAAATTGATCGCCGCTGCCGCCAACAGCGAGTTTACTTATTTCATTTATCCTTTCTGGTGGGACAGACTAATTTTCTCTTATTGTAGGTAAGTTAAGTAGCAATTCCAAATAAAATTCTATTTATTTTTATTTCCAGTAGAAGTGTTGCGATTACTACAAAAACGGAGTTCAATCCGCGCATTATTTATTCTAACCGTTTTCATAGTGGTCCGTACGAGCGCGAATTTCCTATGGTGTTTTGGGTTTAATTCATTCGAAAACTCCAAAATTACAGTTCATTCCTTATTTTAATACTAAATAATTATTTAAATTTATTTGATATATAATTTTATATTTAGGGAGAATTATTCTCTATTGATTACACGAATTGCAATTACACGTTATACACCGTTTGGATTACCTAAAGTGTAGTATAATATATATATATATATATATATAGGTTTGTTTAAAAGATCATCGGTCAAATACGACCTGAACAAAATATGAAACGACCACCAATGATTGATACGTCAAAAAATTGTGACTTAGGTGTTTATTAAATTACGGGGTCCAGCTTATATAATAAAAACCTCATTTTCTTACTACTTTTTATAAGTTTTGAACGCATCAAAACGTTCCCTTTTTATCTTTGGTACACGTTTAATCATAACATTAAAGTAGCACTGCGATTATGCGTTTACTTTTGTTAATACTAGATTTTTTGTAGATTTTTTATTTGTTTTGTAGTGTATTATCAATAACATCATTTTTAAATGTCTTTTGTCTTTTAAGCTGACTTCGAAATCCTAAAAACTTAGCATGTGACGCATATTGTAAATAATTTTATAAACTAAGTCACTTTCAGTTAGACTGTATAGGCTGAGATACCTTTGCCAGTAGTAAAAAAACATAAAAAAGTGTCTTAGATATATAACAGTGAAGACATTAGAAACGTTACTGATTCGTTTTTGTCGTTTAAGCCATTTACTTGTATAGTTAAGTATATATTACTGCATAGTTTTCATATCAATGATTTTAGCAGAGACTACAAGTCATCACTGCAGACTTATTACATCGTAACCTCAAAAATGACAAAACATAAGTGTAAAGTTCTATGATCCCCGGCTTTTAAATAATATATATTTCAATTTAGGATTGAGATTGTGCCTAAAGGAACGAATTAATCTATACACGTGTCATGTTCGCGATATTTTATAGCCAGGTCACAGCATGTATAGGCCGTGACTGATGTTCTTTACGGTGCTATCGTTTATAATTTCAAACACAATGACAGATAAAACAAAGTCGAACGCTAGCGAAATTGAGAGACAACTCAAGTTGCTTACTATTCGAAGGGAATATGCATTTAGAGAAATTCAAATACATTGGAAAAACTTTCTTCGATACATTTCCACACATGTACATGAAAACAATGATATAAGGTCAATCGAAAAGTTTAATTATTTACGTGTCTCTCGAGTTCAGTGTTGTCAATCGCGAAAGAAGTGCCTGTTACCTCTGATAACTACAAAATTGTTTTTTAACTCTTATCGAGCGGTTTCAAAACAAACGAATTTTGGACGTTATGTACTTAGATCAAATTTGTAGCTTCATTCCTTTGAAGTCAGGTAATTATGCCGATTTACCGTTAATGCTCTTAAAGCTATGAAAATTAAGAAACTAGATGAGTTTATTTTATTTTATTAAGCTGCGCTTGTTTTAGATTTTTATACATGCAAACGTTTTGAGATGCAAAACGGGGAACAAATTCCTACCTTTTCTGATTTGTTTATTTTTTACAAAGTTAAGCTAGAGGTTAAGCTAGAGGTTAGTCAACCGGGTAACTGTTTTGGGTCTGTTTTTCATTCGGGACAGTTGCATAAAATAATGAACTTGTCACCGGGACACGAAATAGCTACAATAATAAACAATATTATAAATCTACATCGTTGCCATCGAACCCTGCTATACCTTCAAACGCTAATAAAACAGCTGATTGTCAATGTTGCGGGGCGGCATATGCGCTTTTCAAATATCCAAAGTTGATATTTCTGAAAGATACGGCTTAGTATCTAATAAGAATGTTTGCATGAATTGTTTACAATTAAGTCATAATGTAAGTAAATGTTTTTCATAAAATACGTGTTCAACTTGTGGTGAGTGTCATTATTCGTTGCTCCACGATAACACTACCATTGTTGCTGTTCCGTGTTGCTCCATGACAGGCCTATCGATAAAACAGTAGTTACGGCTGACGACTTGACCGCGACTGTGAGCGCCGTGACTACCAGCGCTCACGTTGGTCATAGTCGTGCTCTCGTTTTGATCGGCACATGTATAGTACGCGTGCGCGTTTGCGGTGCTTCCGCTCAGTATACTAATGCCAGCGCACTTATTGACATTGAAGCTAGTGAAGGGGCCAGACTAATTTTCTCTCACTGTAGGTAAATTAAGTAGCAATTCCAAATAAGATAGTTAGTTTGATAGTCGTTTTTTTTTTCAAAGTAGCCATATAAAATTACATTTTAGAAAATATAAGATGGATTAATTAGAGTGTTTTAACATATACGGCTACTCATATTATCGTATGAGTGTAATATGGTTATGATAGAGACATTTTAAGAACACAAAATTGTTTGATCTTGACGATTCGAGAGTAAAGCACAGTTTAATAACGCTTCGCGTAATGAGGCGTGCAAAATAAAATGTCAATCACTCATTACCCTCTACTATTATACTCTTGAAACTAGGCGAAGTAATTTTTACTGACTTTAAACTGCGTTTGATTTTCAGAACACCCCCTCCCTCAACTGTGACCATAGGGGTTGTAAATTATAACATTTGGAAATTAGAGAGGTTTAATTCAATTATTCGTGTAAATATAAGAAATCATTATGAATTAAAAAACGTTAAAAATGACGACAGACTATTAAAAATACACCGTACTGTGGCGAAAAATGGACGATATGACTTACTTTAGTTAAAATCTTAAGTTTTAATTTGTATATAATTATAATCTAATATATTTCTGAGTTAGATTTTGTGCTAACACAAACTGTTAACAAAAATTTACATTAATAGTAAACTCTCCTCAACATATCTTAGTTTTTCTAGTTCCGCAACGCCGATAAATATATCTGAGAGTCTAACAAAGAAGGACTGAAAACTTTATTTTAGCACGTGATGCAACTAAGAAATTGAATTCCAAAATATTGCTGGACAAACAAAGGCCGAATTTATTTGCGGAAAACTGAGGGTTGAATGGAAATAAAAAATTAAAATGATATTGCAAATTCAAAAAGTATAATATGACTAGGTGCATTAAGAATATTATGCATTACCTATTTTGTTACGATTTCATCAGAATTATTTGCATGTCTAACTCAGTGTACCTCTGGCGTTACTTTAACAAAATTACTTTGTATCTATTTTAAACTACCCATTATTTGCTATTACAATATACAAATGTACACACTACTAACACATCAACTCACAAAACGTTTTCAAACAATTGACGTTTTTCATAACCTCACACAAAATAATATGCACGTGCAACACTCAAATCAAATTAACCCTCTTACAAATTACATAATATTTGCTCTTTGTATACATTCACATATTTTTTAATTGTTCTCATTTTTGAATACAAGTTAAAAGCTTGTTTATGTTGCTTCATTAAAAACATAAATAAAATTGGATGCAGTAAATGACTTAATAAATTATTTTGATAATACTTCCTTTAATTAAGCAATACTATGTCATCTCGAAAACTGTGCAGTATTATCATAGTTGTCTTACAGTTTTGTTTCAAAATACTCGTAGCATCAATGCTAATTTTTCAGGACTTTTAACGTTGTTAGAAAGAATCAATAATAGCACTGGCCGCCCCATGGCAGCCCCACTTTGGCCCTTATTCTTGCCCGGTAATTGTCTGTGGAAGTCTGTAGGTGAGTTTTCCTACTCGTCACTACATCCAGGCTTCGAAGAATGGCGGGATTGCTTCAACTACGCGTTTGCGCGCATAACGCTCCTCGTTGAGTCATGTGCGCCAAAGTGTTCTGTCGCTCCTGCCGTTTTATAGACTCGCCACCTCCCTGACGGAGGATGCAGATTTGGTTATACACCCTCGCATTTCGCTCTCCGTTTCCGCCAGTATATCTAGGGGTGGAAAGCAAGCAAGGACTGTTGCCGCCTCAAAGGATATCGTGCGGTTTCCTCGCACAATCCGTATAGCCACCCTCCGCTGGACACTGAAGATTTTAGTTCTACAGCGTCGGATGGCTAGGCTTTTTGCCCATACAGGTGACCCATATAAGGCTACGGACTGCAATAACCCAGCACAGAGGCGGCGCGCTTCCTCCCTCGGCCTCCCTAGATTGAGCAGCAGTCTGTGCATAGCACCCACCATCCTCTCGATCCGGGGGACTAGGCGCTCAAAGTGCTCTTCGAAGCCCAGGCGCCTGTTCAGGTGGAGCCCTAGGTATTTCATGTACCGCTCCACTCTGATTTCAGACCCACCCACGTAGACGCACGAGTAGGGTGCTTCCCTGCTTCGAGGTAATTTGTGAAACCATAAAGCCTCGGTCTTATGAGGCGCTATTTTTAGACCCAACTCGTGGATTCTGGCGACGACGACTTCTATTCAAGCTCGGCGAGCTCCTTGGTCACCTCGAAGTTGACTCCCATGGCGACCACCAGTGTGTCGTTGGCATAGCACACGATATTTACGCCAGCGGGAAGGTTGACTCACAGAACCGCATCGTACGCGAGATCCACAGTAGCGGACCCAGCACCAAGCCCTGTGGATCCCCACGTTTGATCTCCCTCCGGATCTTCCTACCATCTTGCCCCATGTACAGAATTTACCTGTTGCGAAAGTAGTCCCCGATTATGCCTTGCAGGTAGGCAAGCACCTGGTGATACCAACCTGGGATACTGCTTGTTCCGATAGGGAGCGGACGCGCATAATGGCATCTACAGTGGAACGCTCCCACCGGAATCCAAATTGGCTAACAGCCAAATCGGGAACGACGCGTGACTGATGTCTGTTGAGCCGAGTGGCAACTTAATCTTTTCGAACAATTTGCCAATCTCGTCCAACAGGCATATGCAGAGTGAAAATCGACTGCTCTGCCTTCCTTCTTAAAGAGGACCAGCCTTGCCTTTTTCCGGTGCACGTAACTGTGCGGAACTTGGCACTCCGCAGGCAGCGGGTAAACAGCTGTCTAAGCCTGTCCCCAAGATAGCCAGACTCAGCACTAGACCCCGACCTACAATTTCGTCAGGCTCTGGTGTGGTGTTCCTGGCTCGCAAGCGACTTACGGCTCAGTTCAGCTCCTCCACGGTCATCCCAATTTCATCCTGCCACTCCCATGACGATGGCACCTGAGGGACTTGACCGGTCCTCTGAGAAATGTGTGCTGACTACTCTTTCCAGCAGGTCCGGATCGAGAGTATCTGTCAAGGAGGGCTTGGCTTGAGGGCAAGGGCTTGAGTTTTTCAAGCACCATCCTGTACGGTCACCCCTGGGATCTTCCCTGAGTCCCTCTAGGAGCTCCTTCCAGGACCGAGATAATAAAAACTAAAATCTGAACTTAAATTTAAAATGAATGATATACTTTCCTCATAATAGCTTCTGAATTCGGGTCTTTACCTCTTTGATTTACTATGCTACTACTTCTTAGCACTGATTTCTGTGGCTATTATATGAAATATTTATATATTTTTAGTCTTTGAAGTCAGTTTTAACGTTTTATTAAAAGTTTAATTTTAGCGTTAACATTAGAAGGATGAATAGTATAATTAACGACGAAGCTACATCCACACTTAGAGCTCGACTCAGAGACGCTTATTTTAAACCTCCAGACAAATTAAGCGACCGTAATTATGTCCACATTTTGAAAATTTCATATTAATGGCTTTATTTAGAAAGAAATTTGTGTAATGCAAAACCATTTAACTTCTTCCTCTGAAACGAAATATTAGTAAATGGCATTTTGATACGAGTATAAATATAAGCAATATTCAATCTAAATCAATCCATCCTTTATCATTGTGTTAAATCTCATTATTATAAAATTAAATATTACAGCCTATAAAGTACTTATTTACTTACTTACTTATCTTCACGCACAATCCCTGACGGGGTAGCCAGAGAGAACATATCGCCAAGTATCACGATCCTTACAAACCTCTTTCGCTTCTTTCAGATTCATTATCTTCTTCATACATGCACGTCTAGGTATCCGAGTACTCTTGACCCTACCCTCTTCGAGCAATTTGCTCACATGGTCTTCGAAAGTTAGTCTCGGTCTACCTCGACACCTTTTAATATTAACTTTCGCGCTATATATTTTCTTCACCATTCGGTCTTCACTCATTCGCTCAACGTGCCCAAACCACCGAAGCACGCCCTTATCAATTTTCGTGATAAGGTCATCTTTCAAACCTGCCATATTGCGAATCTCTTCGTTTCGCTTTCGGTCGGCCATGGTAACGCCGCACATTTTACGAAGAGATCGCATCTCCACTGCATTCAACTTACTTTTATGCTTCTTCTGGCATACCCAGGTTTCGCTGCCATATAACAAAGTCGGTACCAACACTGCGTTATGTATTGCAAGGCGTGCACTCTTCGCTACGCCTTGCCTTTTGACTATTGCAGTCAGGGCACCATTGACTTTGTTCCCGGCAGCGACACGCCTGTCCACATCTAAATCACATCTTCTATCCCGGCTAAAAGCACTCCCCAAGTATACAATTTCCTTTACCTGTTCTAGACATTCCTGATTTACCCATATTTCACACTTCGTTCTCTCTTCGTCCCTTTCAAATACCAGAACCTTAGTTTTATTAGCATTCAAACGGAGACCTTTAATTTCACATTCCTCTTTCATACACGTGACTAATGCCTGCAGTTCTGCCTCTGATGGTGCAATAAGCACTGCATCATCAGCATACAGCAGACAATTTACTTTTATGTCACCCAATTTCACACCCAAACAACTATCTTTCAGCTTCTGTAAACAGCTGTCGAGATACAGTATGAACAGCCAGGAAGACATGACACAACCCTGCTTTACGCCCGTTTGGATGTTAAACATGGGTGACAGGTCATGCCCTACCCGCACACAGGCTTTACAGTCACAGTAAAGAGACTGCACAGCCCTTAGCAATCGGCCATCCACACCATACCCCGGCAACAGTTCCCACATTTTCTTCCTTACAACCTTATCAAATGCTTTCTCAAGATCCACAAAAGCACAGAAAATCTTCTGGTTAACAGCCAGAAGCTTTTCCGTGATCATGCGGAGAGAAAACATTTGATCCGTGCATCCTCTTCCAGGTCTAAATCCGCATTGTGCCTCCCATAGAAATCTTTCCGATTTCTCTTGCATCCTACGTGTCAAAACCTTCGAGTAAACTTTACTTGCTAAACTGGTCAAGCTGATCGCCCGATAGCACCCGCAGTCAAAATGTGAACCTTTACCTTTATATAAAGGCACAATGACTGCTGATCGCCAATCATCCGGGACATCCCCCGTCCGCCAGCACAAATTGCACAGCAGATGAAAGCTGTCCCAGACGCGATGCCCACCATACTTGACCATTTCAGCAGTAACTCTGTCTAGTCCCGCAGCCTTACCACATTTCAAACTTTGAATCGCACGTTCAATCTCTTTCATACTGATGACCTCAGTGTCATCGAGGTCCGGGTCTGGCGTACCAGTCACGGCGTCATCCCCGGATCCCTCACTAAGATCATCACACGCATACATTTCTCTATAAAATTCGCTCCATCGCTGCATGACGTCCGATTT